TTCAATTTGTAGAACAGAGTGACTTTGCAAATATTAATGTGTATATCACGCCTTTGGCAGGGAATTTCAGCACAGCAGATAGAATTATTATTGAGTATCTTACATTGTTTGTGAATATTTTGTTGAAAATGTGAATTATAATTTTTTTTTTCTTTTTTCTTTTCTTTTTCAATAGAGTTGCCATGGAATACTGGACATCAGCCTTTCATCCGTGGAACGTTTGCACCGCCACAATATATACCCCATCGTCTTGCTGCTCAAGTTCCGCCATCATAAGCAGATCCGTGAAGTTTGTGATTCGCACCTGACTTCTTCGGAAAGGATCTCGCAAAAAGAAGCCAAAGAGATGTTTGAACTGGCTAACAAAATGGAACAAGAATATAAGCATGTTATATCAGGTAATGTATATTTGTCCTGTTATTCTTTATGCTTCTTTGATTAATAGCGTTTCCTTTTTTTTCCCGTTTTCTCTCCTTATTTTTACTACATTTCTTTTATTCTCTTTATTTCAGTAATATAAATGTTGAATTTAGGAAAAAAAATAGATAAGAAAAGAATACTACATTTGTATGGGTCTTCATGAATTATATTACTTATGTTTTCAAAGACTACTACATTAGTAAGGGTCTTCATGCATTATATTGTAGAAGTTTTCTTAAGTGTTACAAATGTTATGTTTTCCCCAGCTGTGATCCCTGCCGCTGTCAACATGCCGTACATCAGTACTCAAGTGAAGTCGTGTGTGGACCAAGAACAATCCAAAACTCTTTGGGTGCCTTCAGGGAGCCTCTGACTCTCCCCAGTACAGAGTGAAAGAGCTGTTATATTTTGCAAAGAATAATATCCTGGCTGATTGGTTTGAAGCCACACATTATGCCACTGATGCTGTTGATTTATGGCATGTGACCCTTAGAGGACATGAGAGAATATATTCGATTTCTAGCAATGTGTCTTGTACTACTCAAACTTACCCTGAAATTCCATGATTTTTTAAAAGGTAGCATATCTGGTTTTAATACATGTGGAAGATTTTTGATTTATTCACAATATAAGATTATTTTTGTTGTTTGTTACACAGCAATTTCTATTTTTTGTTACTGGACCAAGCCCAAGAAGTACAAAATATCACCCAATATGGTTATATTTGTGCTGTAACATTTTGATCTTTGAAAAGTGTAATGTTGTTAAGTCAAAATATGCGATAACGTGTAGATATTACCTTTTTGAAAGGTGTTTAATATGGAATGATGATAATCCTTCAGAGGAAGGAATCAGTAGGCCTGCCTGTGACAGGTGTCTTCCCTATACCAAAGAGGTTTTAAGACAGTGAAGGAGACGGTATCTGGTGGATGCAACAAGCTACATTACATGTAGCTGCCTGCTGTGGCAGCAATTGTCAGTAGACAATATTCCTTCTCACTTGTGCCTTAATGGAGCTGGTGAGTGGCCTGTGTTTTGGCTTTATATCACTAATTGGACCACCCACTTGCAGGTGCACATGTCACTGACTTGATATTGGCCTCTCCTGATCTCAGGTATCACCATGGCCTGGCTCTCAATTACTTAGTGAACAGCAGTCATCATTATTACAGTCTACTGGAAGCTTTACCCTTACCTTGTTAAGGAAGTTATTGTTATTGACCTACTAGACATTTTCAAAATTCAGTGAAAGCCGTAAACTAGACACTTCCAGATTTTGGTGAATGCAGGAAAATAAAATTTTAGAGCAGTACAAGCTGCAGAAGGTGCAACTATGAGATTAGCTTTGAGGTATTTGAAATCTGTGATTTCAAGGTCACTCTGGTATTTGTAGGAACCCTTGTGTCTTCCTTGTAGAGTATGTTATACCACCTTTCAGTTGTCTGAAAGTGTTTTGAATGTAAATTTTAAAAGCTGTATCCACATAAAAGTTCCACTTGATCTGTTTACTTCCATTTTGGTGCATTGATAGAGGTTATTTACTGTTAGCTTTGTGGAAGATCAGTTTTCATAGTATTTTTGAAAGATGCTTTCACTTGTATGTAGAATTTATTTATTTCATGTTTACATTCAGAAGTAGAAGAAATAGTATACCCTATTAAATATAAGCACTAACCTATGGTGTTAGGTGTTCGTTGAGACTCATGAATTTGATGTATGATCAGATCATTTTTAAAATATGAATAATATCCCATCACTTGACTGATCCAGCTGAATTTAAATCATACTTCTTGGGGTGTTCCCATTCCTGTCTTTCATACTGTAACTTAGCCTGTATATGCAAGTGTACTTGCAATGATATGTTAGTCCTTTTTGACTGACACTTCTTGCCCTCAACCTTGTTATTACAAAGTTCTTGGCAACATTTACTTTGAAATATGGAGAGAATTGCCTGGATTACAACGATTTTACATATTCATATATTGTGTTGTTGACTGAGGCTTACTAGGAGTGGTTTATATTTTGTATGTACACCATGTTATAGTCTTGTATATTACTGTAATATATCTACAGATGTAAT